AACATGTTAAACTAACATATTTTCATAGGAGACTTAAATAAAAAAAAGTTTGCTTTTTTTGGGCCACCCTAATGTCCTTATAGGATTTTTCTCAGTCACTAATGACCACCCCATACTTGGTCCTTTCCTTCTCGTTTTCCCGGTTGTTCACCGTGGTGTTAATAGCCACTCCGGTTTCCTTCCTAGGGAATATAGCCTCCGTGATTTTTTCAGATTTTCCAAAGTAATGCTGGTGATATGATGGATTTCCACCCTCTCAAATTTCAGGGTTTCCTTCCTGATCTTGGTTAACTCTTCCCAAATACTATGTATAGTTCCATCGTACTATACTTTGATGACCTTTCTTGTACTATGCTATGTAGTTTCGCTTGTTGATTTGATCTTTGTGATCTGTTCCATCACTTCGAAGTCACCTTCTATACCTTTGAGCTCTGGGAACGTTTCCAGGTACAGGCGCTGGATGCTTGAGTTCATGTCGGTATCTTTTGGATCAAGCAACACCACCTTAGTAGTTTTGTCGTCCGTGGTCAGTGGATTTCCCACGATAATCTCGGTCTGTTTGAACATCCTTTTTTCCCAGTTCATACCTTCGACCTGTCTGTAATGGTCCAGGCTCTCAATCCTTTCATAATTTTTTCTAGGTTCTTCACTAAGTTTCTCATCCTCTCAATTGCTTTATTTAGTGAAAGTTTTCGGGCTTTCTCTTTGCTTATAGGGATCCATAAGCGAGGTGTCTAGTAAGGATGTGTCTATCAGTTTTCTCTTTCTTTTGTCTGGTAGGAACACGGAGATGCACCTCCTTCCCCCTCCAATTAAATTCAATCGACTGTGTTGTGGTGCCACTAAGGCTTCTTACTCCGAGGGTTCGCCTGTGCTCTATTACATAATCTCACAAAATCAGTAGAGATCGAACAAAAAGAAATAAGACAGATATATGAACATATCTGAAAACAGGAGAAAATTATTTGCGGCAGACGTTTTCGAACGAATCTTTTTTTTTAATTTTTTTAACCATCGGTGTTTTTGGTTTATGCACATTCAGAAAATGTGTATGGTCTACGATTTAGAAGTAATATTATTTTGTCTATTATCGGCTAGAAATAGCTATTTGTATTACTAGGGACGAAAGTGCCACTTTTCCTCCCGCAGGATGAAGTTTACTGCCCGACGCGAAGCGGAGGGCAGTAAACATCCAAGGGAGGAAAAGGCACTTTACTCCCAAGTAATACATATGATTTTTCCGCCTCCCTCAAATAACAAGTCATTTTTAAATAATTTTCTTCGGCGCATTGCTTGAAATGTAAATACTGTTTTTCGTATTTTTCTTTAGATTTTTGGGGTAATAGAGATTGTACTGTTGCATTAACCTGTTCCAAAATATCCGGTGGTGTATTAATTATATCTTCAAATTAGCTTAAATCACTCACTTTTTAAATATTATTTTATATTTTGTAGATATATTATAGCGCAGTGCTCCGCAACCGGTGTGCCGCGGCACACTGGTGTGCCGTAAGCCGACTTGAGGTGTGCCGCTCTTGCAGACAATACGAATCAGATTCGTATTGTAGCGAGACCCGCGAAAAATAAAGCAATCTGACAACAGCGCCGATGGTAAACGTCTATCCGTCTATCGGCGCGGCGCGGCGGCTTGATTCTCGAAGGCGACTAAACTAGAAAGATCCGTGCCGTTCGAGGCGCGACTCGATGTTTTCCTGAACATCGCCACTGCCTATATAAGCACGCCTGTCGTCGCTCAGAGACTCAGAGAGAGTCGAATAGTCAAGTGAATCAGATAAATACGCGGGCAAACAAATAAATCGTAGAGTGAAATAAATAGTGAATTGCTATATAAATAAATTCTTGTGCCTTATAAATAAGTGAACTGGACTAAGTTTTGTTGCAGTATCTACTTTTATAAATAACTATAGTGCTTCAAATATGGATAAATTTTTGCTGAAATCACGAGCAGATGACGAAGAACCTAGCACAAGCTCCAGCATAAGTGCTGCAAAAAGAGCAAAAAAGGTGCTGAAAAGGAAGTACAATCAAGACTACCTTCGATATGGTTTCACTTGGTGTGGCGACGAAGCGGCTCCAAAGCCTGAATGCGTCATTTGCGGTGAACAGTTGTCAAATGAAGCAATGGTACCCAGCAAACTAAACCGTCATTTGATCACAAATCATCCCAGTTGCGTCAAAAAAGACATTCAATTTTTCCAACGGCGCTTGGATCAAAATAAGAAACAAAAGCAGTTTATGAAATCGGCGGTTACGGTTTCTGAAAAGGCATTAGAAGCAAGCTACCTTGTTGCAAAATTAATTGCACAACAAAAAAAACCGCACACTATCGGTGAAACGCTTATTAAACCAGCATGCATGGAAATTGTTAGACTTATGCTTGGGCCAAACGAAGTTAAGGACGTGAGTAAAGTTTCTTTGTCGGCCGATACTGTTAAAAGACGTATCCAAGATATGTCAAGTGATATTTTGGGAACACTAATTAAAAAAATCATTTCGGCTGGAATTTTTGCGCTTCAAATCGACGAATCAACCGATATTAAAAATAAAGCACAACTGATGGCTATTGTACGTTTCGTTGACGAGGACTCTATTAAAGAACATTATTTATTTTGTAAGGAGGTTCCAGAGAGAACTACCGGTGAACAAATTTTCCAAGTAACTGATAATTTTTTTAAAATACATAATATTCAGTGGACCAATTGCGTTGCTATTTGTACAGATGGTGCTGCTGCAATGATGGGCAGTAAGAAAGGTTTTGTATCTTGTGTAAAACAAAAAAATCCGTCAATACAAATTACACATTGCTGCATACATCGAGAAGCATTGATGGTCAAAAATTTGCCCGAACAGCTTTCGATCACAATGAATGAATGTATTAAGATCATAAACATAATTAAATCGAGAGCCTTAAATTCGCGAATCTTTGGAATACTCTGTGAAGAAATGGGAAGCGAACATGAATCCTTACTGTTTTATACAGAAGTTCGTTGGTTATCCCGGGGAAAAGTTTTAGCTCGACTGTTTGAACTTCGCTACGAAGTGCGTGAGTTTCTTTCAAGTCAAGATATGTACGATCTATGCCAGCACCTTCATGATGAATACTGGATAGCCAAACTTGCATACATGGCGGATATATTCGAACATCTGAATGAACTTAATAAAAAAATGCAAGGACGGAATGAAAATATATTGACGTGCTCCGATAAATTACAAGGGTTCAAAAAGAAACTTGAACTTTGGCAGGAACAGTTGCAAAAAGGATGTCTAGAAATGTATCACAGGACCAACCACAGTATGATCGAAAACAAGCAGTTGATTGTGGATTTGGCCCAACAACATTTAAGTATGCTTCAACAAAAATTTGAATACTATTTCCATTCTATCAACACGGAACAATACAATTGGATTCGAAATCCTTTCGCAACCAATGCAATAAGTTCCACGGAAGCACTGCCATTGCAAACTCGAGAGGAGTTCACAGAATTAAGTAATGATATGACCCTAAAACTTAAATTCGACGAAGTTCCGTTAGATGTTTTCTGGATTTCCATCAAGACAGAATATCCACGCATCACCGACAAGGCCATCTTCACACTACTTCCGTTTTCCACAACATATTTATGTGAGCAAAGTTTTTCAACGCTTGTATTAATTAAAAATGATAAACGGTCATGCTTAAAAGATCTTGACCAAGAAATGAGAGTTGCGCTGTCTAAAATTGAGCCGAATATAAAACTTTTGTGTTCAACGAAGCAAGCGCAGGTATCACATTAATCAGTCATCATCATGTCAAAATATTTATTACTATTGACGTGTCAACAGAAGTAAATTTAGTATACCTACCTGTCCTACCTAGTATTTAGTATAGTTCTCATGTATGTACCTATTTGTATTTTTCATTCTATCTGAATAATAAAAAAAAATAAAAAAAAAATATGTATTATGTCCTGAGTGAAAATTTTGATGCCCCAAATCTGAAATGGGCTTCTTCACATTTTAAAACAATAAAAAAAACTAAGGTAGTTTGGACATCCATAAATAATTAGTATACATGGAGTGAACTGACCCCCGACCTAGCTACGCCACTGCTATAAATATATTTTAGATTTTGGTGTGCCACGAAATTCTAGGGAGCAGTTTGGTGTGCCTCAGATGAGGAAAGGTTGCGGAGCACTGTTATAGCGTAACACACTTTGAAACTGATCTGTGAATCGACCATAGCATGCTATAATATTTCTGTCCTAAATTCGAAAATCGGATGAATCTATGAATTGAAGTCAAATTATTAATGTAAAAATCGTTAAATTAAAATAACAATTTACTGGTTTTTACTATTTTGCAAAATACAGGGTGTTCTATAAATAAACGGTAAAATGTATACTTATATAATAGAATATAGTTTAGGTCGTCAATGCCGTATAAGCTATTTCGTTTATGACATACCATGATGTCACTTTTACTTTTCCTCCCTAGAGAGTAAAAGTACTTTTCCTCCCTAGGGAGGAAAAGTACGACTTTGCTCCCTGCAATGAGGCCAGAAAATGTATACTTTGGATAGAAGTAGGCGAAAAAAATATTTTATTTCATAACATATTCTCATAAAATTGTTCCTAGTAACCAAACAAATATGAAGTTAAAAAATAGACAACGATTTTTTTGGGGAAAAACTGAGATTATGTCACTGTTCGAATTAAATTTTCAAATTGACAATTTGAACTCTAGACAGAGTCTTAAAACACGAATAAGGTGGGCTGGAATCCTTCCAGAGATAGAATTCTTTAAATGTTTAATTATATTTTTTTTGCTTTGTAGGTTCAATAATTATTTGCAATATTTCGTAGAAGTTATTTTAAAAAATTTATTTGGAAAATTTAATAGAACTTTTATTTAAATAAATTTTTTTATTAGTTGTTTGAATACACTTCATTTTGAAAAATACTTGTATAACTTTATTAAGGCTTCTCAAATAAAAATTTCAGAAAATAGTTATTCGAAGAAAGATGAAAGAGACAAGGATGAGTTATCGATATGTTGTATTCAGGAACCATTGGCACCACTTGCAGAACCGGACAGTGAATCCCCTGGAAGCGAATTACCTCCTTCTGAAGTAGGGGAGATATTGGATGCCGAAAGGGAACATGAATTAGAACAAGAAGTAGAAACGCAAGTTACACAAGAAGAACATGGTGAAGCCAAATCAAACGATGTGTGCCCCTGGGAAGACGAGTAAGAGTAACTTTCCTTTTTCTTTTTAAGTGTAGTACAAAATATTCAGGCTAGTCTAGTACTTTAATATTTATAATTTAACACCAATCCCTGTAGTACTTCCTTCGCAACTTTAAACTCTTCTTTGTATACCATTATTTTCCTATCGCTTAAAGAGTTTTCGTCTGCATTTTTAAGTTATATGTTCCTTTTCCCTAGTTCACTGTTGATAATGACTCAAGGTGCCATAATAAAAGCAATTCTTACATAAATAGTTATCACTGCTGCCCATCTGCCACCGTCCATTTGCTATCTCGCCTCCAGCACTGATTGTATCGTAGACCACCCCATTCGAAACCCGTATCGGTTTTCTGAGAAACCTGATGCTTTCTTAATTTTCTTCACTAGTCTGTTCCTTGCGAGTTCTTTGTATATTTTCTTTACCGTGTTAAGTAGGCATACATCCGTTTATAACATAAAGGCTTTTCTGTCAGTTTCCCGAGTTTCCCTAGTTTCGGAACTAGGTTTGGCCGCCGTCCACTATGTCGGTAATTATTTAGTTTATCCAGTAGTAGCTGTGGGAATTTTGCTCCCATCACCTTTATCGATTTCAGTGGCAAACTGTCTGGACAGTTTTCATATTTTTCAGAGCTGTTGTGAAATTTTAAATTATTATAGTAATTATAAGAAATATAGACCATCCTGAATTTAATTTATATTTATTTTTTAAAATCTAACTTTCACCTAATTATCGTAATTAAAACATATACCGATTGTCTTTATGAAAAGATCGGTGGATATTTCAAAAGTTGAGCCTTTATTTTAATTGGTTTTATGTGGAAAAAGGTAACCAAAAATTGGTATTTCACATCTATTAAGTAACGTCTCAATATTAATGGAGATTTAAAGCACTGAATTTTAAGGTATGTGAAGCACTGGAGTTTTACTTAGGCTAAACTATGTAGATGTTCTTCACATTATTAGCCCTGGTGTTTAATAACCAGTCAACGTCAATGTTTACAAACATTTTATGAGAACATATTTTTATCACTTTAGTCCGTCCCTGTAAAAACATTTAAATCGTTTGCCCCTTAAGCCTGCCCATGTGAAAATATTTGGTCTCTTTACCCCTTACGCCAGCCTCCTAAGCATACACATGTAAAAATATACGGGCCCTCTAATATCCCTTAAATTGCACATGGTAAAATATTTAGACTCTTTTAAACTTTGTTCATTTTAATTTGGGTAGACCACCGACTCAAATTGAGCAATACTATACTTTTGGAGATTTGACTATCTCCTCTCCACGTGGTCTATATTAATTATACTTTTGTCATTTATTTTAATCTCTAATCCTTCTTTAATCATTACTCTTTAATTTCCATATTTCATATTTTAGTGGTACAAATTATGTTACTTTCATTGCAGGAGTAAAATTTATATTTTAACTGGTACAAATTATGTTGTGTTTTATGCAAAAATAGCAATAGATTCTTTTCCTGCAAAAAGTCTCTTTTTTTTTAATTATAACAAATTTGGATTAATTTGAAAGTTGTCAGTCCTTTTTAATTCTACCTTTGTATTTTTCAATGTGGTCCTGCTAGCCTAATATTAAACTAGAAGCACCATGTGTTTTTTTGTAAACGGTACATAGTACGAAAAATTTATTGGTGGTACAAATTGGTACAAATTTAGTTCTTTTTAATTATACTTTTGTTTTATTTTTTTCATGTGGTCCTTGTAGGAATTTTGACAATGGATGTATGACGACACATTTCTAATGAGCAACCCGGGTATCCCGTTTCGCAACATTCGCGCGTCACAATCATTTGGGGACGTAGGAATACGGTCGCTAGGCAAGTTGTTGTTTGGGCAGAAGTCAACGAAAAAAAGTCATTCTTTTAATCTCAATATTTTATATTCAAAACCCTGTATTAAATAATACAAAGAATAGTTGTTAATGTGTTCCTGTTTATGGTAATATACGAATACAAAAGTTCGCAGTTTTATTTTATTGACGCAGCTAAAGTTAAACCAAAACCGAGCTGTGGCCAGTTTAAGAACTGGCACTCGTGATGAGGATGTAGCCAGCAGCATCATCCCCATTCATATGGTCCTTCGAGCCGGATGTTATAGGAAAAAGTCGCCAGCCCTCACATCACTCAGCTTAGTTTAAGTATACCCACAGAAGAAGACCCTCTGTCATCGATTCATCTCAACTTGTAGTCATCGAGCCTGGTAAGAATTTCTACAGACTCAACGCAGTTCAAGTTATTCTCCGGCCCAACCAGCATTGTCAAGTTCAGCTTAAAAATAATTTGGTTAATGTTTCAATAAGAACATAAGGTAACAAAATCATTTTTTGAAAATAAAGAACAATTTATGCCTTTTAGTTGCAAGTACTTTTAATCTTTTAATATTGTTATAATAGTAGTGTGTTGTATTTATTTATTTGTATTTAAACGGTGTTTGTTGTATCGTACAGCCGTTTTAAATCAAATACTTGTTTCTCTCTCTCTCATCCTAACTACTTTGACTCACATATAACTCAAAATTTACTTTGTAAATAATTTTTTCGGACTTTCTGTTGGAAACAAATATTTGAATAGTTCCTAAAATAATCTTTGAAGCTTTAAAGTAGCCATTCATTTCTCCGCAAACTAATTTGACACTATTTCGCTTTGTATTTTCAATTGAAAATTTGACTTTTGTATATACTGAGAAATATGGATACTTTAAAGAAAGATATTAGAACATGTAAAGCTGCTTTTACTCGACAATACAAATGGATTGAAGCAAATTTAGCAAACGAAACAAATGAGTTTCAAATCCATTTTAGACTAGACGCTTTGACTACAAATTTTATTAAATTTGAAACAGCTCAAAATGAACTTGAAAATCTCCTAATAGAGAAAAAATTAGATGTAGACGAGGATGAACGTTTTGATGTCGAGCAAAAGTATCTTGACTATCTAGCGAGATTACAAGAAAAACTTGCAGATCTTTCAACTGACCCAAAAACAACCTGCCCAACCAATTCTCAAATTATAATCAATTCAGGCAATTTGAACCCCTCTCGCGCCAAACTTCCGCAACTAAAAGTTCCTATATTTTCTGGTGAGCAAAGCAAATATCAAAGTTTTTTCGATATATTCACGTCCCTAGTGATAAATAATAATTCTATTTCAGATGTAGAAAAATTAATGTATTTGAAATTATCCCTAAAGGATGAAGCCTTATCACTAATTGATGCATTAGAATTAACTAATGACAATTTTCATATCGCGCTTAATATATTAGAAAAAAGATATAATGATTGTTTGGCTATTTTCAATTCACACCTAAACTCTATTATAGACTACGCTCCAATATCTAAGAGCAGTGCACAAAATTTAAGAGATTTTATAACAGAAATGAAACAGCATTTTGAAAGTTTAAAAATTTTTAAAATAGAAACAGATCATCTTATGATTATCAATATTCTCTGCAGAAAGTTAGATTTTGTTACAAAACGCGAGTATGAATCTCAAAGGGATAAAACACAATTACCTACTCTTAATCAGTTTTTTGATATTATTGAAGAAAGATGTAGAGTACTGCATTCGATTTCCCCCTCTCTTCCTAAAAAGGAAAAAATTGAATCTAAAAATACTCGTACAGCATCTCATCATTCAAATATGGTTAAAAATAATACTACTATGCTTCAAAAAACTCAAAGAACAAATTGTTCGTATTGCAATGACTCATCTCATAAAATTTATAGATGCACTAATTTTTCGTCACGTCCTCATGTTGAAAAATTTGAATTTGTTAAATCTCACGGTATGTGCTTAAATGTGCTTAAATTGCTCCAATTACTAAACTTCAAAGGACTATCACTGACGTTATTAATCATTTTCTTTAGCCATTTGTCGGGATCAAATACCTCATCTTCCTGAACATTTGCCTCAGTAGCATCCACCACTGGAACTGACCTACTCAATATATCAGGGACTACATTATCCTTCCCTTTCCTATGCACAATTTGGAATGAATACTGCTGCAAACGCACTGCCCAACGAGCTAAACGTCCACTCGGATCCTTGAGACTGTTCAACCATAATAATCTAAAATGATCGCTGACTAGAGTAAAAGATATACCCTCTAAATAACCTCTAAGAGTCTCAATAGCCCACAATGCTGCCAAACATTATCTCTCAGTAGTTGAGAAATTTCGCTCTTGTCTTGTCAGAGAGCGGCTTAAGTAGCAGATCACCCTGTCGCCATCCTCATAAGGTTGGGTTACAATAGCACCAATAACCTGAGGCATCAGTTTGTACTACAAATGGTTTTGCGTAGTGAGGACAGCTTAAGATAGGTGCCGTGACAAGGTACACTTAATCTGACAAAAAGACTCAGCGCACTCCTCGGACCACTTAAACTTAGCCTTCTTCCGCAGTAACTTCGTGATTGGTACCATAAGTGTGGAAAAATTTGGAACAAAACGTCTGTACCATGAGAAAGTGCATATAACAAGCCTAACCTCAGTGACATTCGTTGGGGTAGGAATCTCAATCATCGCCTTTACCTTATCGGGATCTACATGCAACCCGTTCCTATCCACAACATAACCTAAATATTTCAACTGGGGAATACAAAATTGACACTTTTCCAAGCTGACGGAGATATTAGCCTTCCTGAGTCTACGGAATACTTCCTCTAAAATTCCCAAGTGTTGTTCAAAAGACTGACTAATGACAACCACATCATCGAGATACACAAATACGTGAGAATCAACATCATGGCCAAGAACGTTATCAATTAACCTCTGCCAAGTTGCTGGGGCATTATGCAACCCAAACGGCATCCTCTTGAATTGAAAGTCCTCGATTTGGCACGGTAAAAGCGGTGTATTGCTTGGATGATTCAGCCATAGGTACCTGCCAATATGCCGATTTGACGTCCAAACTTGACATATACCTTGCATCTCGCAACTTATCCAGGGTATCAGCAACCATTGGAAGGGAATAACTATCTCTTAC